AAATAAATAGATAATATAACCCAAAAAAATTAAAAATTAAAAATTAATAATTTAACTTTTAATTAACTTGACAAAATAAGCCAAAAATCAAGGATGTGTAGGGGCAATGTGGGAGCATAGAGGTGTCGGAATAATTTGTTATTTTTAGATGGAGATGGTAATGATAAGGTATAAGAGACATAAAAATTAATTAGCAATGAAAGTGGAAAAAAGTAAAACCACAAAAAATTATAAATTAAATTTCCATCATGGCTCATCTTTTTTTTCTTTTTTGTATTTTTATTTTGAATAATTTACTATTTATGGCCTATATTTTGAATAAGAAGCTCTTCTTCATAATGCTTTTTCGTAATTACACAAACATTCTTGATCAATTATGAAATAGGTTTTTTTTGTAATTATGCAAATATTTTTGATCAATTATAAAACATAAATATTTTATTTTTGAACAAATTACAAATACAATCATAAAGCTTATTTAAAATTTGAATTTGTCCTACAATACTATAAATTACCACTATCGTTTGTTATAAATTTTAATTCAACACAATACTCAAGGGAAAAAATATATTTTCCTATGCAATAATAAATTATTAAAATTGTTTATTGAAAAATATTTCTCATATCATGAAAAATTGTTAATTGACTTAATGATTTATTTATTAACAAAATAGTTAACTGAAAAATATTTTTCATATCATTAAAAATTGTTAATTTACTTAACGATTTACTTATGAATAAAATTGATCATATGTTATACAAGTATGATTTATATATTAATAAAATTAATCATTTGTGTATATATATATATATATATATGTATTTTATTCTGCTTCTTGATTAGTTCAGTAACTTATCTCAGTAATTTTTTTTAGATAGGAGAATTATCTTAGTATTTGTTTTATATTTATCTGTTAAGAAAAGTTGCACACCATAATTTTGTTTTTTTTTTAGTAAATTCGGAAGAAATGTTAAAACTCATAAATTCATCCAAAATGATATAGTAATGGAATTGGAGTTGATATCATTGAGTGTATTTAGTTAGAGATGAACTAATTTTGATCACTTAAATTCTTGTTAAGTAAATAAATTAAATTTAAATATTTTTTAAATATGTTACTTTAATTAAAATTAATTGGAGATCCTTTCAAAACACAATATATTTAAAATTGACTAAAGCCCCTGTCTAAAAAAAAATTGAATAAAGCTGTAAGTGTTCTTAGAGCACTAGCTAATAAGAACATAAGTGGTACTCCAATTCTATCCAATGTGATCTCTGTAATTACAAAGAACAAATGCAGAAAAAACAAGATGGGTACGAGAGGTTTGACAATTATTTTATAATTATATTTTTACTTTGTAAAACAAATTTAAAATTTATTAAAAAAATCATATTTTTTATTAGCTAGAAAATTAAATTAATATTTGTTAATTGTAAATTGTTTTAGCCTGAAAAAATATAATATTATAAACTTATTTAGCCAAAAATAAAATTTTCTAGATGCCTTGGGCTTACCTCTAATTCATGATTTAGACCGAAGGATATTTTTTCAAGTCTATGGGACCCATCATAAGTTTTATTTTGATAAACCATTCATTTTGTAGAGATCTTTATACATATCGTTTATAAAAAAATTAATTGTATGATAATATATATGGAGAAAATTATTTTATATAATTGATTCTATTTGTAGCAACACTTCTTTTAGCTTTTCAAAATTTAACATAAAAATGTCAAGTTTCACTAATTCAATCAATAAAATACAAATTAAAACATATCACTATGCATGCTGCAGCACCCACAAGTTTTCCACACCCATCAGTTATCTATGGTAGTTTGAAGATTGGTTGCTATTTGGAAGGACCATGAGCATTTGGGTCCACACACACACTGTCTATGCCTCTGTCAGCAAATTAAAATCACAAAAATTATAAAAACAGGCATTATCTGTAGTACTACTACTGTACAAAATGAAAAATTTCATAAAAATTTCATCAACATCCACACCTGTCAGGTTCCTTTATTGTGTTGCTCAAGCATTGAAAGTTTTATTCTATTTTTTCATATATATATCTATATATATATATGAAGAGAGTGAGTGTGATGGAGAAATTGGGAAACCAGGAAGACAAAAATCAACATATACATTAAACTTTAGACAGCAAAAAATGAGTATTTCCCACTTCTTATGGAAGCAACATACACCATGTTTGTTTGGGTGGACATGAACTTGGGATTGGACTAATAGTTCAATAAAATTATTAATCCGATATTTGGTTAAACAATTGAAGTACGGATTAATTATTTTAAACTTGACTATTAGTTAAGATAGGATACATAATCCAACGAATTCGTAATCTTAGGACTATTAGTCATGGGAATACTAATCCAGTCTGCCCAAACAAACATGGCCATAAGGTGTTATCTCAAGACTATTACCAACTCATATCTGCCAATAAATAAGTTGTGATAGAAATGATAGTTCATCCATAATCAAAACATGTGACACAAATGTGCACGTCTTTTTCTAAGCTTCCATTATTTCATAGCCCTGTGTTATCAATTGTACATGGTCCATGGAGGGACCAGGTATTTACCTTCACGACAATGCTACGTAGCTCAAATTTTGTGGCTCAAAAGTGGCTCAAATGGCCAAAACGACGTCGTTTTGAGTACAAAACAACATAAAAATGGTCAAAACGACGTCGTTTTGGCCATTTGAGCCACTTTTGAACCACAAAATTTGAGCTACGAGACATTTTCCTTACCCTCAAAGTAATTCGAACGCAAAATTATCCAAAAATGTCTCTGTCAGACAGTGACCCCACCTTTATCTGTTTTTTAATCTTTTCATTGAATTATTGTCTGACCTGGATTTTTCTGGATGGTGTTCTGAAGCTCGGAGTATGGTTCCACTACCAAAGCATATGAAGCTAGCTTACCCAATTGCCAAATTCAAACATGCAAGCATGCCCCATTAAACACATTGGTACCCACCCAAAACAAAAAAACACATTGGCCCAATCATCCAAACAACAAAACAAAAAAACAACACACATTGGGTCCTAAAGGATTATGTCATCTCCCCCTTGCATAGCCAAAAATAACAAAAACAAAATAAACACACCAATAAATGCAAGCAGACAACTTGTTAGGAGAACCTAATCTAACATAACTCTTTTATGGTACATTGGAGGGAATGAGAATTAAACTCATGACCTCTCACTCAGGTACACGAGCTCTGGCCATTGGGTGAGTCCTAATGGGTTGGGCTTTAATGAAATGGGGTATTAGGACTATCTCTATAAAGGGACTACACTATTTATTATTGTTAGAAATTGGGCGCCCATGTGACATGAACCTTTTGAACCTTTTGAACCTTATCCATGTAAGTTTGAATTTGAATTCAAAACTTACTTGGATAACTACTCAAGATATCCATATCTATCATACCAACAGATATGGATAGATGAGATATTATCCTATATATCTAATATGATATGGGATATGGGTGATTAAGAGAAAAATATGTCGTATGTTTTTCCCATAAACTGACTCTCTCCCAAAATACAACGATCAAGAATCATTTTGCACTGTGACTTGTGTAGGTGATATTCATTCTGTAATATCACTCCATTGCTGAGTTGATTGATCAGATTCAGGAAGCACGTGATTTACCCACGAGATCCTTCAATTCAGACTCTGCACAAAAAGGTATGACCATAATTTTTCATCTGCTGCGTTTTACCTTAGATTTACAATAATGCAATATTTCTTTCTAGTAACTCAGTATCCGGACTATTAGAACGACTAATTCGGGATAATTCCCACTGTCTAGGGGCTCAATTAAAAGCCCCGTATGGACTGGTCCTAATAAATTATTTACACTTCGAAGAGTTTTAACTTGAGACCATGCAAATAATTGATCATTGATTACATTACATCCAAGGTTTCAAAAAGCAGTATTACGTAACGGTTGTGGTGATAAATGTTACTCGTTACAACTACTTTTGCAATATATGACAAAAATTCATATGTGTAATGGCCGTTTCGGTGTTACGTCTCGGCCGTAACGGTACCGTAATGGCCTGTTACACACCATTACAATATTCTGAATATCTTCCTTCTCCCCCTCTCCCAAAAAAAAAATAAATCTTATAAAACAAGAACAAATATTCAAGTGATCAAAACCCAAAGAAAAAACCTTGTATGAATTTTTTTCTTTATAATTTTTTAAAAATTTTGATTTCACTACATTAGTATGTAAAATAAAATAAAAAAATATAAACAGTTATTGTATTTATTTTTATAATCATTTCATTTAATTTTTAATTGTAAATATTTTTCATTTTATTACTATAATGTGTTGTCTAAAAAATGTCTTAAAAAAATCAGTAGCTCAAAAATAATTTTTACTTATGGCACAATTTTTATTTTTATAATCATCTCATTTAGTACTTAATTGTAAATAATTTTATTTAGTTAGGTATAAAATGCTAAAAAAATGTCTTTTAAAAAAAAATTATTAGTTCAAAAATAATTTTTGTTTATGACACAATATATATATTTTTATAATCATTTCATTTAATAATTATAAATATTTTTTATTTAGTTAGTTCAGGTATTGGTCAAAAAATTTTTTATAGACATTTAAAATCAATTATTCTTAAAATCATTAACTATTAAAATATAATATAAAAAGCTCTTTTTATAGTAATTTAAAAATATGAAATATATTAGATTATATTTAAAAACTAACAAAAATTTATCAAAATCTATTTTAAACCCTAATTATGTGATTTTGAAAAAAAAAAAATATGCGTATCTGTAAATTTTTTCAAATTGTGCGGAAAATTAAAAAATTCATGGTTTCGGTTACCACAACCGTTATGCTATAGCCTTTACAATCTGCAACCACAACCGTTCCACCGCAACCGTTACGGCGACAGCAACTGCTTTTCGAAACCATGATTACATCCCTACAATGCGGAAACCCTCATGACAAAATATGTATATTATAAAAAAATAAAATAAAAAAAGAGCAAACAAACAACAACAGCAGCATATTCATCCAAACTTAAAGATAGAGAATTTACAGGAAGGGGGAAAAAAAATCCACACAACTCACAACAACTGTCATTCATTGTTCTCTATCTACATCTCACAGCTGAAACTTCAAAGCAAACAAGCATTTTCAAGTCTCCAACATCAACCACCAAAGCCAACACCACTAGGATATGCTAACAAAATCATATTTCAAATACATAAATAAAAAACAACATGCTATTTACATCTACCACACAAACGTGTCACGCGGAAAGCAGGAAGAGTACCTTTTCCTATCGACCATCAATTGAAGTAAACGACTCTGCGAATCCAGTAGGCTTTGATGGTATACTACTCTTGGTGTCCTCTAGGTCCAAACAAGAAATGTCCTTTCCTTCGCTTCTTGCCAGCCCTTCACCATTTTGGTTTAGTGGGAGACTGTAATCAATACCACAATACTCCTCTGTGTCATCATCTAGTGGTTTCCATTTCTCGACAAGGGGGCTCAGGACCTTCACAGCGTGGCCCATATCAGGTTGTTGGTTTGGCTCTCTTGCAGTGCAGTGACCAGCAAGTTCTGCAATGATGGAGATGGTATCGAATGTTTCTTGTCTGACATCGAGGGATGGGTCAATGGCGGTCATGAGCTTGCCTTTAGTTGATTTGATTTTCAAGAACCATGAAGCTAAGTATTGGTTTTCCTCAGGTCTGTCCTCGTCAAGTGCCGTCAATCCAGTTAATAGCTCCATTAAAACAACACCAAAACTGAAGACATCGGCTTTGGTCGTAATTTTACCCATAACTGCACCAATTGAAATGTCACAGACAGAGTCGGTATGATTTTAAACTGTAACTCCAGCATATACCAGAATGAAAAATGAACGCATCTCAGACATCATTGCCTATTCACTTCTGATAACTATTTCAATGTTTAAATTTATCTATGGAGTCCTTTGGAAAAAAATGGAAGCTATGTCAGAAAATGATGTTTAAATTCTGGCTTTTTGTTATTTCAACCAAATCTGAAAATGATCTTGTGATGAGAAATTCAATGAATCTTGAATTACTCAATTGAAAATATGATGAATTTCCAAATTGAAATGCAATGTAAAAAGTTGGAATGGGGTCACTCAAATTCAAAAAGCATCCAAACAAAATGTAAAATTTATCAATGGAGCCATTTGGGAATATGGCAGCCATTTCAGCATTAAAATTTTGAATTTTTACTATTTCAACAAAATCTAAAAGTGATCATATGTGAAGAAATTCAGTGAATCTTGAATTACTAAATTAAAGATGATGAATTTCCACATCGAAATGCAATGCAATGCAAAATTTGAAATGGGTCACTCAATTTCAAAAGGCATCAAAATAGGACTAGGAAGAATGAGCACAAATTCATTTAGGTTGTGTTTGGATCTTGGATTTGGAAACGGAAAGGAAAAATGAAGTAAAAATGACAAAAACTTAGCTTATATTTCATTTACATTTCCCTCTCGTTTTTCCTTTTCCTTTCCAAATCCCTCCTCAAATCCATATCCAAACACACCCTTAGTGTTTTCTTAGCCAAACACTGTTCATGACTTCAAACTTTGGGTCAAGCCTCAAATTCTTCTCTAGGTCAAAATTGAACCAAAATTTCATCTACAAGGTAATGACAATTCTAACTAGCAACTCACGGGAGTTTTTGTAAATGTTAATAGTTAGGCTTTCAGATGTTTATAATCACTACCTACTACATAGGCAAAAGAATGTAATACAGAGAGCCTACCAGCATATTCTGGTGCCAGGTATCCAAAAGTCCCTGCAAGCTTGGTTACCACACACTTCTCTCCATCAGGAACGAGTTTCACTAATCCAAAATCTGAAACTTTTGCTCTAAAATCAACACCGAGTAAGATATTCGAAGACTTAAGATCTCGATGTACAAAGCTCTGATGAGCAAGACTATGAAGATACTCCATCCCTCTAGCCACATCCAAGGCAATATTCAGCCTTCTCTTCCATGATAAAGGTTCCAAATTCAAGCTCTTCCAGTGGAAAAGGTGCTTGCTGAGAGTTCCTTGAGGCATATACTCGTAAACTAAAATTCTCTCGTTGCCTTCAATCGAATACCCAAGAAGAGATACCAAATGACGGTGGCGAACCTTTGAAAGAACGGCTATTTCAGCTTGAAACTCATCCAAAGCTTTGCTGCTAATCACACCAGCTTCCATTCTTTTCACTGCTATCTTTGTTCCATCATCCAACTCTCCTTTGTAAACTACTCCAAAACCACCGCGGCCAAGCTCATTTTCAGCGGCAAAATTCTTAGTCACATTCCGAAGAACTTTAACTGATATGACCAAGTTTCCAGACTCAATGATACGAGACTCACCTATTCCACTACTGTTTCTGCTCCCAATACCACTTCCCATAGAAACACTTCCATTGGTATTTTTCGCAACTACAATCTTAACCATTTTATCTACGTTGGAAGGGTCACTAGGGTGAATCACAAAGGAAGTTGGAGCTTCAAAGGCATTCTTTCTTTTCTTACAAAAATAAACCGCTAAAGGAACAATGAAAAAGACAACCAGGGCTGCAAAACTTGCAATAGGGACCACAATCACAACTAGTTTAGACGTTTTGGATCTTTGCTCTTGAGTTGATTGGTTAGGAATAAAGGGATTAAGCGGTGAAAAATGGTCATCAATAGGGGATTGCGAACCCCCAGAAGGCGGGTTGTTTCTTAGCCAAGGGGTTTCTTCGGACTGATTAGAGTTTAGTAGAGGATTGTCAAATAAGACAAGTTTGACAGAGCCACTAAATTTCGGCAATGGAGCAGAAAGCACTACAAGAAATATGACTTTTGACGATATTTATTTAACGGCGTTTTATTAAACACCACATTTTATAATATTTAACGACGTTTTTTAAACGTCGCTTTTTGTTTAAATCAAAACGGCACCGTTTCATTAACCAAAGGCGTTTGAAAACGCCTTCGAATGTCCTACATCTCTCCCTCGGCGAGCGGGTGAATATCAAATATAATAGCCCTAATCTCTCAGTCTCTCACCCTCTCGTTCACTCTCTCGCTCTCCTTCATCTCTCGCTGTAGCCCTAATCGAAGTTCTCTCTCTCGATTTCGATTTCGAAATCTATGTTTGGGTGATTCTTTCTCAATTTCGAAGCTTATTTTGAATCTCAAAATAATTGTTAAAGCCTTTGTAAACCCTTATTTTGAATCCTCACGCCTTCAAATCTCGCCTCTCTCTCAACGCTCTCTAAACCCTTATCATTCTCACGATGTTGCTCCAGAACGGTGTCATCTTTCAGAGCGATTTCGATTTCGAAGCTCCACAGCCACCACCGGCGACGTAGCGACCACCATCGGTGAGCGATTTCGATTTCGAAGCTCCAGAGCGATGTCTCTCTCTCTCTCTCTCTCTAGATCTCTCTTCATCTTTGAGATTCAGAGATTCAGAGATTCAGATCGGTCTCAGTGATTTCATCTCAGAGCGATTTCGAAGCTCCAGCGAGGTATCGATTTCTCTCTCTCTCTCTCTCTCAAGCCCTTCCTTCCTGTCTCTCTCAATTTCTCAATTTGGTATTTATTTGCTTGGAAACCTGTTCAATTTCTTCTTTTGCTTGCTTTGTCATTCTTCCTTAATATGTTGTTTTTAGCAAATTTGATGTCATTCCTAGATAGTTGGCCCTTGTTTCTGTGTCATTCCTGTAATTGAATGATGAAATTCTAGGAGTTTCATATCTTACAAAGCCATAAGATATGTATCTGTTCAAAATGCAAAGTTTAGTTTGCTTATCCCTCCATGGCTTCTGGATAGTTCAAGTGTTCTTTGCGTAGTTTTTGTAGTACTTGGACTCTAGGTATTAAAGGCACTGTTATGCACATTCCCCTAGTGTTAGTGTTCTTTTTCATATATGAATTGTAGAGACTGTTGGTCACTGCTGCATTTACAAATTTTTGGGATGATGCTCTTCAATCTTTTTGTTCTATTAAGGTTCTAAATTATACATTCTATTTTTAAGCTTATATTGACTATCTTATGCATTTCAATCCTGCAATTCTTAGGTATCTTGCTTGTGCATTTCCTGGAGTAGCTGATCACTGGTGAGAATCGTTGCTTCTTTTTTGCAATTAGTTTGCCTATAAGGACCTGTGTTATAGCATTGAAATGACAAGTCTAGTTGGGCCAAATGATTCTATTGAAATGAGAATTCTAGAAGCTTAAATTTGTTCACTTTAATTTGCACAAATCCCTCCCAGAAATCTGCTGTTGTGTGTACAATATAACATGAGTCTACCATTTGATCAACATATAGGCTATAGTTTGAAAACATCACAATACAAGCTTCTTGTAATACTTTAACTTGAATTGCACATACCCTTCTTTTTTTTTCTTTTTTTTTTTGAGGGGGGGGAAGTTGGTGGGTTTTGTTAATTGTGTGATATTGATTGTCTTGTTGTAAGGAGGAATTTTTGTGTATTGGGTCATAGACCCACCCATGGTTTTGATGGCTGAAACTGTTGTGTTGATACGATTGATACATTCCTACAGTTCAAGCAGCACTGCCTCGCCTTTTAGGAGCTGCTGCTTCTCCTGGAGTTGCTGCTCGTGAAAATCGCCGTCAGTGTCTCAAGGTAATTGTAACACTTCATACCAGTGAAAATCTTACCTAATAAATTGAATTAATTGTATCCCATAGGTTTTGCAATTATGGCTTGAGAGGAAAATCTTACCTGAGTCTCTTCTTCGCCAATATATAGATGACATTGGAGTTTCAAATGACGACGCATCTGCTGGATTTTTCCTTCGACGCCCGTCTCGAGCTGAGCGTGCTGTAGATGATCCAATTAGAGATATGGAAGGCATGCTTGTTGATGAATATGGGAGGTCTGATGCTTCTTAATTGCTATTCTTATTTGAATAATTTTTGCTTTTACTTTTTTTTAGTACTTAAATATGATGTTTTGTCACAATGGGAACTGTTAAACATAGTCATTGGTTGTCTATCTATTGTTTCTGCTGGATATCAAAAGAATGAGTTAGTAAAGTAGTAATCATGTTTAATGCTAATCAATTTGTCGCATGCATTCACTTATTCACTTATAGTTATTTTGTCTCATAAAACTTTATATTGTCATTATTCTCAATGTATTCAACAATTCAGTGTGTAAAAACTTTAGAAGAAAGTTACTACGTCCATTCACATAACTGGATTGGCTGAATGGAAGCAACTGTACCTTTCTAATGATGGAGACCCAGTTGTCAAATAATGTGTCGTGTTGCGTGCCCTTTCTTTTTTTATTTTTTATTTTTTTTTTGTATTGCATATCATAATTCTTCTCAATGTATTCAACAATTCAGTGTGTAAAAACTTTAGAAGAAAGTTACTACGTCCATTCACATAACTGGATTGGCTGAATGGAAGCAACTGTACCTTTCTAATGATGGAGACCAAGTTGTCAAATAATGTGTCGTGTTGCGTGCCCTTTCTTATTTTATTTTTTATTTTTTTTTGTATTGCATATCATAATTCTTTTACATCTTGAAAATTGGTAAACATGGATAGGCAACCTTACATTTATCATTAGAGTGAAGCATTAAGCAATCTTTATTTACCTTGAAAATTGCTCTGGGTCTAGTAGGCTATACATACACTTTTTGATATCATTGTTTCATAAATATTGAAGCTTCTTTTACCAATCTGTTTTGCTTTGAACATGAAAGCTTATAAGGATAGAGATGGAGATTTGAATGTACTCCAGAAGCCGCCAAACTTTGCATCTTTTTTTTTGTTTTTTTGATTAAGCCCCAAAACTAGTTTTCTGTTCAATTAAGCTGTCCATCTTTCCCAACACACCAACCCTTCATCACCCAATGTTGCACCTAGATTTTTAGCTAATAGTGCAATTTGACAATTGAATCCTTACTTTGATTATTGATCTTTGAGCTATTTTAATTCAGTAGATTGTGAGTTGATGGAATTTCTAGGTTGATTATTGATCTTTGAGCTAGTAATTCCAACTGCTAGAGGACCGGGGAATTTGATGGGATAACTAATTTGCAATATGGTTAAGTATTTAAAATGACTGAAGATAACAGTATTACTAACCTCAGTTGGTTAAAAATATTTTAGCATATAGTATTACTAGCCTCTACACCAAGGTCACATAGACCAACTACAGTCATTGCCATGATATTACACAAGGTTCTGAATGATGTAATCTCTAAACATCTAATCACATTTTAGCTAACATCTAGTGTTCTTTGCGTCTTTGTATGAAAAAAGGAAAAAGAAAGTGAAGTATAGGCTCCTTGTTAGTGGAACTGTCGTTGATTGCATTGGTTATTATTGATATGGGAAATTTCCTAGGTCCTTATGCAACACTCATCTGGTAGTGATTGACTGAATGAAACGTACATCGATTACATTTTTTTTTTCCCCTTCTTTTTTGCCCACAGTGGTCCTCATTTTGATTGGGTGTGAAAAACATTTAATTGAATGTGAATATTGGTGGTTGCTTGTGTTAATTAGTTAAGAGTACTGTTTTTTCTCGGAGGAAAATCTTGTTACTTGCATCTTTGAATGTCTTATCAGCATGCTGGTCTCCCTCCTGTTGGATAGAGATTATGTTTCAAGGTTATACTGCAGTTTTGGAGCTGAATTCTGTTTTGGTTTGGTCATTTTTTGTCATATTTATGGGTAAAACTATGGACTTAAGTTGTTCTAACTTCTGAGTTCTACGTTCTTGGTGTGCTGCATTGATATCTCTCTTTATGTCTTTAGATAGTTCTGAAAATCAGTACCATCCTTGAATACTAAAACAGAAGGATGTCTATAGATAGTTCTGAAAATTAGTACCATCTTTAGGGTATCTCTCTTTTCTGTTTTATAAGTTAGACTTGGTCTAGCTTAATCGTGGTCTTTTCTCTTGAGTTTTAAGTATTCAAGGATGGTACTGATTGGGGTCATTGTTGATAATTCTATTATGTGATCTTCTTATTTGATTTTCAAGTCCTATTTACAAAGCAAGCAAATGCCTTCCGTTTAATAACTAGTGGCTTAATTGTGCTATGTATTGTTTTGCGGGGAGAGTTCCAACACTACAAGAGGGAAATAGAATGGAAAATATATTTAGTTTTCCATGGTCGAAAGATAGTCCTATTGTTCTTGGTATGCGTCATGTAGATAGCACAACCTGCTGCAGCTCTACATTTATAGATCCCTTGATTTTAAACTGAATTTTGTTACGACTATTGAGCAGGACCGAGATTTAAGGATGCATTCCAAGACCCAAATTCATACCTTGCCATAAAGCCCATCTTTGAGGTATCGTGTCCTTTTTAGGGGAGATATCTCACAAGCTGGGAACTCACTCTCTATTTCTCTCATGTGCGTTCTTTTCAATTACCTTCCCTCTTCTCACACAAGATTTCAAGTTCTTCTCTTTATATATATTTCTTTGACTTTTACAGAAAGAGAAGTATATAGTAACATACAACCCTTCAAAGGGAAATATATATGCATTGCTCAAGGATCAAGCAAAATCAGATGACATTTTGAAAGCAGCTTTCCATGTGAGAATCTCAATTCTTTGTGTTATAGTGCCAGTAATTTAGTATAGTTGTGTAAGATGATTTTACCTTGAATTACAGGCTCATGTGCTTCTGCATATCATTCACTCATCAAATCAGAATCAGCCTCCTTATAAGAAGCATCGAGAAACTGATCATTCGGTGTGTAAGAATTTATGTATTATTGATTGATGTTTATTGATATCTATTACAATGATTCATGATTCCTATATATAGAAGAGGGTGAGTGTGTAGTAGGTAAGGAGTAGGTGAAGTGGAGGTGGTAGTGGTGTAGTGGGTTAGGTTTAGTAGAGTAGGTTTAAGTGGGTGAAGTAGGTGATAGGTTTTAACAGCCCCCCGCAAAGGGGGATAGGAACTAGCCAACTTGAGTTTGGAGAGAGTAACAAAACAAGAAAATAGACGAATACATAAAAGAAAAGAGGATAGGAGACACTGTATGGTCGTGTCAGACCATTGGTGAAGACACTGGATGGTGGTGTCATAACGTTGTAGAGGACACTGGATGGTTGTGTCAGACCAATGTAGAAGACAGTTTATGGGGTCATGTCGGACCGTTGTAGCAGACAATGTTGTGACAGTTGTTGTGACAGTTTACAGAGTCTTGCTGGAC